CACACCCCCAAAAAGCTTCTGCTACACACACCAAAAGCAGTTTTATAGTTTTTGTCATCGTGCTCCAGTCGACTCTGCATGCACGCACAAAACAAAGAGAGACCTTTGTGACAGGCCCCTAGTCACTGGCTGGGAACTATCTGATTTAACAGCTTATTGGCTGTACACACAGCCAGTCACTCAGGTCCTGGAAGTCAGGCCCAGGAAAAACAGATTTAAAATCCGGCTGATCAGTTACAAACTTTTCAAACTAAAAAAATCCGTGCTGTTTTTCAGGTTCATGGAGTATGTAAATTTTACAATCCCTTCTCTCTTTTTTCCATTGTTCCTCTACTGAAAAACAAACCCTTTAAAACATGAAAACAAACCCCACGGACAGTTTCCTTAAACAGGGCATCTACTGTTGTACAATGGATTAAAGATTGCTGCTTCAAGCAAACCACATCAAGGAACAAATCACTAAAAAAAAACCTGAGGAGTAAATTAACGTGATGAGTGACATGCTCTGAAATGGGCAACACGCTTTTCTTCCTTGTTTAGCATGGAAGTTGCTGCCTACCTTAACTTCTGTTGAGACCAATTTAGACACTAGTTTTAGAAAACTAAAAGACAGCCTAAAATATATGTGTTTCACTTCTAAACTTCCATGTTAGCACTAGTAAAGGAAAATCCCTTATTTTAATCTTATTTTCAGCGAGGTTTGATTCTAAAAAAATCTTACCAAGCTTAGAAAAATAAGTCCTAGATAGACATTAGAGTATCTAGAGCCATGAGCAACTGGTGCCTCCTGAATCTGGGGGGGCCCCCACAGAAGCCACTAACAGTGGCAGTCCTGTCAGGGGGGGCCACCAGCCCTACCAACAGCATCAGTGTCGGCTGTCGGGGGGGGCACCGGCCCTGTCAGAGTGGGGTATGTGCACCCCCATGGATCCCCTACCAGTCGCCTATGTCTAGAGCCCTTAAAATTTCTGTATTATCCATATTACGTAGGCAGCTACTGTTAGGTGGTCTTGGCCTTTTTCAAATAAGAGAGATAGATGAACTCTTAGACATATTTCAAGAATAAAAAAAAAAAAAAAGATCAAAATGACCTGTTCCTTTGGATTTTCAAGCCAACTATTACAGAACAGGCAGGGGAACCTGTACTCATTCAATTATGGTGCCCAAACTGAGTTAACTCCAACCAGAAAGGGAAAAGCATCTTTATACAATCTTTGTAACTCTAATCATCTAAAGCAGCGGTTGGCAACCTTCTAGCATCGACCCAGTTTGGCTCGGAAGTGGGTGGAAGCAGGGGTTAGGACCCTCCTAGCCCTGGAACGGGAAAGCAACTGATGCTGAAGTTTCCCCCACCAATGAATCCTCATGCCCCTGGCCAGGATCAAACAGCTCCACAGGCCATAGGTTGCTGACCCCTGATCTAAAGTATAATAAGAAAAACTGAAAAATAAAAATGGCTTTGAATGTGGTATTTATTTTGAAGGCATCTCTACTTGAGAAGCATATATAGTAATCCACACCAAGGGACTGTGTGTGCTGTAACTCAGCTCTACTGGAAATGGTTCTTAGCCCTCTTGTTGAATTTGAAACCTCACTAGTAGTCTTCTTTTAAGTATCTTTCTAGCCTTATTAGCTGGGAGGACAGTCTCCAAGAAAACGAACTTATACATCATCATGTGTTGAAAAGATTTAGCCAACCTGAAACAGCAGCAAAGGTTCCTCATTGTTTTTATTCATACCGACTGAGCTAAGACTAAAAAAATAATGGCAATTGTGTAACTAATTCTCGTCTGATCACCATAGCAGAAACATCCAAGCGCTGCCATCATTGGACCAAAGCTACTGAAAATCCTGGCAGCCTCCAAGAAATTATATGACAGCTAGTTACTACCCTCTTCCATGCAGAAATCCTTACTTAGCTTGTCCATAAGGATAAAGAAAAACCACATCAGTATGTTCCCATCCCAAATCATAACTGCCTCTTGTCCATCTTCAGATTACAAAATGTATAAACAGAGAGAAATAGTTAGCCATGCTGGTCTGAAATCAGACAGAAAGCAGGGTAGATCTGCCACTTATAGACTAGATGTATAAAGAGCTTTTGTGAACTAGAGCTCACTTCATCAGATGGTGTGAAAGGGCAAACATAAAACATACACCCTTCTCCTACCTTCCATCATGTTGTCAACACACAATTAACAACAGCAGTCTGGGAGGATGCAACATTCAGACTAACCCAGCTAACGAGCCCCTCTCTTTGGTATCCAAGTAACAGAAATGACATGACAACATCAGTTTTTAATATTTTATCCAGTTAAAAAAAGGGACTGCACCTGCTGCCAAATCGTGCATGGCTGCATGCAATACAGAAATCAGGGAGGAAACTTTACGGCAGAACTCGGACAGAGTCATCAAGCAGTCAGAGCTCTAGTTTTGCCGTCTTCTAGCAACAGTTTGAGACTTGCATAACAAAAGTTGTGTTGCTCCCTGCACACCAATACAAATAGTATTTCCTGACTCCAATCAACAGCATGTTGGCTTTTTATTTTTGCAGTGACAACCAGGCACGGTTACCATAGACATCGTGGAGACTAGAAAACCAAACTCATAATCTTTCTTCCCCAAACCCTCTCCCTCCACTTCCTCTAGGTTCATTATGACACTATCACATCACAAAGGCCCCGGGTCTGGGGTGAAGTCACGTCACTCCCCACCATCACATCTGTGAACAAGTTCTCCCACTTTCTCCAGGACACTTCTTAAAAACAAAGCAAAAAACACCCTGCCATCGCCTCCTCTCTAACCCAAGAGCCAGTTTGTCTCCCCTGTAATCCCTGCTCCTACTCTACCAGTCTCTCCCTCTAGGCTCTTCCAGATATTTACTTGACCTCTCCAAATAACTCTGGTTTCCTTGAATCGTTAACTTTTTATCACTGCCTGCCAGATCCGGCCTTCAGGATTCAAGCCTGCACCTTTGACGCGGTCTCATGGTGGACACCGCTCTGCCTGCTAGTCTTTGTGCCCCAAGCCGTTGTATGGAACCAAATTAAATTTAAAAAAAGCCACAACTAACATATTTAACATATTTTTAAAAGCTCATTTTTTGTAGCCTTACTTCCAGGAAGCGAACAGAGAGGTAGCTAGCAGCCTTGGTCTGAATTTAGGCCTAACACATTAGTCAATAAGGTGCTCTGATGATGTCAAAGATATGAACAGGAGGGAGGATAACATGCATCCTGGTCCTGTCAAACTCTCCCTTTCAGGATCCTTACTTGGGCCACAATGAATTTAACCAGCCAGCCTCTACAGTCCTCAGGGACTGCACTGTATGTTTCCGGTGGTGCGTGGCCTGTTTCCAGCTGGTCAAAATCAGTCATCAATCACCATCGTCCAGCATCAGCCCATGTTTTGAATTCTTCCGTCGGCACCGGACGGGCCGAACCGCAGGCAGCGGCGAGCGCAGACCCGGATCAGAAAGCAGACCGAGTTATCTGTGTCGGGGCAAAGGCGGGGGAGATTTGCACGGATATAAGCTGACAAAGGGCTCTGCTTACAAAACCTCACCCCAAACATCTCTTGTTTCGTTATCACGCGGAAATCGACCCAGCATAAAAGCTCCCCCTTCTTTCAATAACATTTCGGGGTGGGGGAAGAAACCTGTGCCGCTTCACATAGAGCCCCCCCAACTTGTGTTGTTGACCAGACGAATCCCGGCTCCCCCATGAGACCCCCGCCCTGAATCTGCCCTGGGCCAACACTGGTTGCTCTGATCAAAGGCACCATGTCTGGACCAAGCGGCTGGATGTTTGCAAGGGGGCAGCCCACCCCCAGCAGCCAGGAAGGGAGGGATGGAGGGAGGCTGTTTGGGAAGGGAAGGGAAGGGGCCCCGGAGCAGCGGGAGAGGGCTTGGGAAGGGGAAGGGGAAGCAGACGCGACTCACGCAGCTTCTTCCACATGGCCCGGTGGCAGGCGACGAAGCCCTTGCGCAGGGCCGCGCACACCTCGGCCGGCTCGGCGGAGCAGAAGCCCTTCTGCCGGGTGATGAAGCCCCACAGGTTCTCGCGGGCGAACTGGGCCGCCTCCCGCCCCCCGTGCCCGTCGCACCCCGCG